TTTTTTTTTTTTAAAATAAGTATCCAGAAACCATGAGTTGTTAACCCTTCGGCTTGGTACTATGGATATTGCAACCCTTTGGCCGTGATTCCATGATAGGTACTTTAAATGTGGGTGAAATATGGCTTTTCTGCCTACCCCCAGACCTGAACCCGGATTTTATCACCCGGTTGCCGCGAAGTCAGGTTTAACCAACTACTCTAGTGAACCGGGCAAGGAGCCTGGTTTAAAAGTAGTTACCAGGATTAATAGACTACAACCAGCTCATATTGCATTGACATATATAACATTTGCTCCTCATTTCAGACAACTATGGCACATTTTGTTTATCCTACTGCTAATCCAATGGCACCACCTCCGCAAGGCTACCCTGGAGCTCAGACCGCCTATGTTACTGCAGCTCCTCAGGCAGCCTATGCTGCTGCAGCAGCACCGCCCAGAGCTGGACAAGCCTACGAAGCCTACCCAGGGGCTGCAGCTTCAGCAGCAGTTCACCCATCTACCCAGTATACCTACTCCAGGGCACAAGTTGGTGTCACGGTTAGTATTCAACATTTTCTGTAAAGAAAAAAATGAATATGTTAAAGATATTTTTACATGTATTTGTTTACGGGGTTCTTAACAAAAGTGGACATCGCTTAGTGCAGCAAAGCCTGGCATATGACATGACAACATTAAGTTTGAGAATGGAGGTGGAGGAAGTTTTCTCGGATCATTTCCTGTGTTTTTATGCATTGAGTAATGTGTTAGTATAGATGTTTGCTTAGTAGCTAGAGTCTTGGGTTCTCATATCGGAGATCTAGGTCCTGACGAGATACAGCAAAATATGCCTGGCAATAAATCGTGCAGTATAGTGTTTGTGTCCGCATTATTGAAATTATTAACTTGTCAGTTCAAAATAAAGATCGGCTATCCTCCAAATAACGGCCCCAAATAATTGAGGCCAAGAAAATACCCTAACAGGGCCTCAATCACATGTGAATTGCCAACTTCTTTCCGGCGAGTATACCGCATACCACAGGAAACGCTCCTCGGAATAACAGTCCTAAAACATCAAGGGTATTAACAGCTCCGACACTGAGTGCTAGGTATAACTTCTCCCCTGGGTCCCAGGTTTAACTTCTCCCCTGGGTCCTAGGTTTAATTTCTTTCCTGGGTCCTAGGTTTAGGGTTAGGGCAAGGATTATTGCAATTATAACACTGCCACCAGAATCTGTCACAGAAATGGAACCGCGACACTATCGATTGGAGGGTTATAGATGGAACTTACTCGGACGTGACGTTACCACAGCGGCACTGGACGCGCGTTGTTTACTAAATATTTAGCGCAGTTTCTTCGTGGCATAGTCACAAACATTGAGGCCCTGTTAGGGTATTTTCTCAGCCTCGATAATTTGCGACCTTTATTCAGAGGATAACCTAAAGATCATGCAACAGCTTGTGGTGGTTGCACTAAATATGTGGTCCGAAGTCCTCAGACTTATGACCTCCTTGTTGCATACTGTGCTGAAAGTGGTAAATGGGGACAGTAACAACAATTAATATGGGTAGATTGTTGCAGCTGTTACATTGATTGTAGACTGTGCAGCTGTTTCATTGATTGTAGACTGTTGCAGCTGTTACATTGATTGTAGACTGTTGCAGCTGTTACATTGATTGTACACTGTTGCAGCCATTACATTGATTGTAGACTGGTACTTTGTGCTAGACTGAGATCTTTGTATCGAACCGGTGGCTTTGAAACTTTGATTTAGGTGGGTTGATATTTTAGGGAGAAGCAGTGAGCACATTACTATAGTCACTTATTAATATGTTGCAGTAGGTAGTCTTAAGTTTTCATGTTACTGTGGGTAGTCTTATGTTTTCATATGTTACTGTGAGTAGTGTTATGTTTTCATGTTACTGTGAGTAGTTGTAATCTAATTATCTTAAATGATGAAGCAATAGAGGAAGTTGAAGAATTGATATACCTCCTAAGTAAAGTTTCTCCAAAAGCAGATTCTGAAAAGAATGTGACATCAAGAATAAACAAAGCAAATCAAGCATTTGCCGTGCTTAACTGAACAATAAATGGAAGTCAAAGGGATTTAGTTTGAAGACAAAACTCAGAGTATACAGGAGCAACATTTTAGGAATGCTATTATACAACAGTGAATGTTGGAAAATGACAATGGGAATTACACATAAACTTGACACATTTTTTTAGTAAACATACATGTCAGGAACCTTATTTCTTCAGTGAAGGCATGTGGCTTATTTGTAGGCTACTGACAGACAATCTATCACTACGATACACTAAACTAAACACTCACAGAGCACACACACACACACACACGCCAATATTTAATTTACAGAACAAAACAGCAGGCAGTTAACCTCAGAAACGGTGTGCTCCAACTATCATCAACCTGGCTGTGAAGCCTTTAAAATCGCCACACTCCCGGGCCATCCCACTCTACATATAATACCCGGGATAAACGCACCCTTGTTTCCGATACAGGCTCTTTCATCTGTCACTGGACTTCACACCAAAACTGTGGCACGTCTGTAAAGTGCAGGCCAAATGTGTGAGAACAGATCAGTTCACCAATTACTACATTCACCCCGCTAACAATAATTCCAATACCTAGTGAGCTACCTGCATAGATTACTGCCCAAAAATCCTATCTCCATCAAACACTGTTTACACCAAAATAATGCTACTGTCCAGCTAAGCACATTACACAGACTATCGGTTGCTATGTTTAAATTGAAAACACTACGATATAATGATCACAAAATAGTCAAAGTCTCAATGCGCAGGCTCAGAACTCCCCGTTCTTCGCATTAACGGTCGGTTTTGTCAGCTGTTGCCGTTAAGTCGCCAGTCCAAGAACCTCATGGATTTGTTAGCAGTCAGCTTGTTCAGTCACAGTTTTCTGCTAGTCTCGGTTCATGTTGCTGAACTACAGGTCATGAAACGGTCACTAAGTACAGACATGTACATTCACTATCATCATACAGTGTATCCCAAACCCACACTTGACTCTGACATCACACTACGTCTGACCCCATATCATTTTAAGATTCTGTGGTAAACATACTTAGGCTGACTTCTTATGTTTTCGTTTCTGTGGTAAACATACACTTCAGGTGACTCCTTATGTTTTAGTTTCTGTGGTAAACACATACTTAGGCTAACTCCTTATGTTTTAGTTTCTGTGGTAAACATACACTTCAGCTGACTCCTTATGTTTTAGTTTATGTGGTCACTTCAGCTGTCCACTAAGTTTAGACAAGAGCATAAACTTACTATCCTTATGTTTTAGTTTATTGTAAACAACCCAGCTACCCACATATTTGACTCTGAGTTTCTGTGGTAAAATCATCACACTGCATATAACTCCTTATGTTTTAGTTTCTGTGGTAAACATACACTTCAGCTGACTCCTTATGTTTTAGAGTGCCTTTTCCATGCAGCCCACCATCACCTATGACCAGTCCAAGGCATACTATCAGCCAGCAGCTGCTTCATACACAGCCACAGCAGAACCTCAGTTCCAAGCAGGTTTGTGACCATTGTTTTAGTTGTAGGTCTAGCCCTTTTGTATGTATGTATTGATAAGTTAATTTGCAAGTACCATATTTATATTTGTAGGCCGCAGAATATTAACCGAGAATCGTTAATGAAAATAGGCTGCGGCTAATATTCAAAATATTAGGCTTTGAATCGGTCACTCATAGTACCTAACATCACAAGAAAGCCATGTCTCACGTGTCAAGTAGCGTGGACTTTCTGCACTTATCTCTGCTATCATCATCATCTACTGCCTTTACCACTGGCGTTATTTGTTATTTGCATCGACATCCTAGCACATCGATCCGACCACTTTGAATAAATCTCTGTGTATGCAAAGCAAAGATTACGTGTGCTGTAAGTTAAACATGGACTGACAGAACACAAGATAAGAGTGACCAGGAATTAGTTATAGAGATATGTCCGATGGAAGGACATGGAGAAACATCTGTATCAGAAATGAATAGCAACAGAGAGGCTGTATGCTTTCACATAAATCTCTGGATATATAGAGATGGACATGTGGAGCTAGAGGTGATCCGCCCCTGGATTCATTGGTGCCAAAGAATAGTTGTTTGATAAGTGTGCAGTTGTAATTAGCTCTTGGTCTTGATATTTTGAAGTGTGAGCTCTTCATGCATGTTATATCAGAGAAGCTGTGTCCCTGTGTCTGTTTTGCTCTTCTTTTGAGTGTCAACCAAATTTCCTGGTCTCTCGTTATAGAGACATACGAAAAGAGGACCCAAAGAAGCTGAACAAAGCTACATTTGATGTGTGGGAACATAAGAAGTTTTGGAATTCAGAAGTAGAAAACATGACTAATCATAACTATGCATGCTTAAAGGAACATTACCTGTGTTCAATCAGGATCTGATTATTCTAAAGATATGTGCTAATTTGATGATACTCCTATCTTCTTTGTCAAAGAATACAGTAGTATCTTGTTCTCATTTGTTTTTGCAAATGCATTAAAATTGAAACAATAACTTAACAGAAAAAAGCAAATTGAATCTTTTTTTTTTGGGTTGTAATTTTTTTCCAAGTTTATATTTGCATGCCAATGTGAAGCATTTTAATTCTGGTTTTTTTCTGTCTTTGCCATCCTAATTGACTGCTTGTGGTACATGAAGTTGGCCTCTTGTTACCCACAGCTAAACCCGTGTTCAGCACTGGTGCAACCTTTGCTGGCGCACAGAGACAGACTGCGGTGGCCCCTAAAATCCAGCAACTTCCTGTGTCCTCTGCAGGGGCTAGCTATGTGTACTCATCCACTGCACCAGTTGCAACTACTTATTCAGCAACTGGCTACACCACAGCTACAACGGCACAAACCAACATCTCAGGTGTGTAGTTTATATTTTCTTCTAATTAAAGGCGAGGAGGGGGTGCCACTGTTTCACAGATGTAGAATCTCTGAAGTGAGACCATCCTACTTGATAGTGTGGCTCTTTGTGACAGTCCCAACATTTCACACATCAGTCTTGTGCTGTATGTTCCTGGAATACAATGTACAGATCAGCCAACCCAGTTTAAAGACTTACTGGTCATGAAATAAAAGTACATGGAGTAGGTAATCGTGGGAAAATAGTCTTTCTGGGCACTTGTAGTGAACAACATTCTTTAAAAAATAACATTTTCTCTCTCTCTCTCACTCACACACACACACACACACACACACACACACACACACACTCTCCCCCCTCTCTCACTCTTTCTCTCTCTCTCTCCCCCCCTCCCCTCTCTCTCTCTCTCAAAATCCTTTGTGATATATCCTGTTACAGCTGACCATATTGGTATCTCTTGCAGCTGGTTATGATGCTGCCCTTTACTCTGCTGCTACCAACTACTACAGCCAGCAGTCACAAGCCAAGCCAGGCCCCACAACCTGGATGATGAAAAAGCCAGCAGGTGGCAACCAGTACAAGCTCAAGCCCAAAGGTCCACCTAAAACTCCCCAGCTCCACTATTGTGAAGTCTGCAAGATCAGCTGTGCTGGCCCGCAGGTAATTGTCTACAGTATTTCAGTAGATGTAATACAAGTACGCCAGAGAGTGACCTACTTAACTTAGTCGATTCTCTTCTAACCTGGGGTATAAAGGTTTGCTAGAGAGATTGCCAGACTTCTCTGCCAGCATGTTTTATTTTGACTTGCTTCCATTCCAGTCCTCTCTCAGTCAGGGATTGTTTGCTGATGTCTTTCTAGTAAACCCTGGAGGTTTGGTTCCTTGGTTCTTGGCCTCCCATTCCTGTCGTGGTGGCAGATTCTCCCCCATTCTGCATACATTTTCAAACCCTCATAACACTCATCCACTGGAGCTTATAAGGCCAGGGTTTTAATATCGTGACATATTGTCTGGATACGAACCTTGGAGAGAATAACTTCAGTACCTTATTATGATCAGAGTGGAGGTTAGAAGTACTGGCAAAAGAGTGAGCAGACAGTATTTTTAGGAGGTTTGGTATTTAAGCATATGCATAGAATACACAGGCTGAAAAGACAACGCTTTTATCATCTGTCAAAGTTGTTCTGCTCCAAAAACAGTGACATCCTTTCCAAAATCCCTTCAACATAGGGAATGATTCAGGCATACAGCATAGATCTACAGCCTAACTATATGGTCACAACACCAATCCCAGACACAGACAGAAAGGCTGAAGAATATGAGCTAGTACCACAGGCAAAGACCCTTGAATATGTCTACAACTTTTACCCCAAACCCAAATTGACACGTGTTACACTGATGGATCATTGGAGGGAGCAGAAAGAAGCGGAGGAGTTTGTTCGGTCATCATGCTGCAAGATGAGACCACAGTGGAAACACTTTGCACCTCCAGGATTCTCATCAAGCTTGCATGACAGCATGTCGGTTCTCCATTCGACTCAGAGGGATCCATGAGGTAGAGAACCAATCTGCCAGCTAGACAGACTTAAAATTTAATCAGATCGTTCGCTAGTGGATCCTAGCTCACTGCTGCATACCTGAAAATGAGACTGTGGACAGACTTTCAGCAAATAAATGCAAGGAAGGAGAAACAACACACCTGTTCATTGTCATTACCAGAAATCAAGGGAGAATACATGCACTTGTGGACAGAACATACCAACAGTAAACATCCACAAGACCTCATCAGCAGACCCAACATAACAACATACAGCAATTTTTCCATCTACGAACAGGACACTGCAGGCTCAACTACCACGTGCATATAATAAAGACTGTACAGTCCCCACAGTGTGCACGTTAGATAAGACCACAAACACCCAAGCACATTCTGCAGGCCTGCCCACTCTACCTACAACTGCAAAGAAAAACCTGGCCTCGAGCAAATTGTGCAGAGCAAGCTATGGGGAATCATGCAGGACCTGCTGCTGTCTTGCGAGTTCATAGAGGCAACCCACCTGATGTTCTGATCTGAGCATGCAGAACCAGAGAAGCTGTAGCCTTTTCTTTCATGCGGCCTTCATAACATGTATCCATTTATTCTTTTAATAGTTTGGTTTCCCTGTCTAGTTGAGCTGAGCTTGCTGTTTTGTGTGTCTCCCTCAGACGTACAGAGAGCATCTTGAAGGCCAGAAGCACAAGAAGAAAGAAGCTGCCTTGAAGGCTAGTCAGCCAGCAGGTCGGCAGGCACACAACCAGATGAGATGTGAACTCTGTGATGTCACATGTACAGGTGTGGATGCCTATGCTGCCCACATTCGTGGAGCTAAACATCAGAAGGTCAGTTCTTTACATGGTCATTGCTCTTTCTCTGTCCTTCTTGTTAATGTGATTGACTTCAGCACAGCCTTCCACTTTTGAGACTGATAAAATGCTGACATTTCTCATTCTTTTAAAATGCCACTGTACCACATGTTACAGAGTTAGTTAGTTGGGTTATCATCATTGCACTCCGGACATGTCCATAGGTGCTCAGACCCTCCCCTCAGTATGAACGCACAGTGGACTTCTGTAATGATTCAAGCCATAGTCTTCACACTGAACCTGCCTGAACCCTCCTGATCATACTCATTGAATCACTGAGTATACATACGCGGGTGTATTTTTGTGTTTCAAGCCAGGCAAATGCTTGCGTCACTGCCATCACCTCCATCGTCATGCTGCTGGTTGTCATAGAGAAGGCGCCGTTGGCTTCTTTGACTTTTCTGCCCGCTGAGCGTGCTGTGAATGCCCATGCGCTCCTTTTTTTGCGTATAACGGATCCGTCTGTTGCAGAGCTGTCGTGGTGTAGCGGCTAGACACTCCCCGTGCGCATCAGAAGGCCTTGGGTTTAGGTCCTGGATACCAGTTATAGTTCTGGGAAGTAAATACGACCGGCGTGATGTTGACCACATCAGACACCCAGTGCCGGTTGATCTATAAAATGTAGGTCTAGTCCTATAAGCCCCATACGCATGAAGGCGTGGAAAAGAGAGCCCTTACTTTCTTACTACATGGTGAGTGATGATTGGTACATTGTTTGTTCCTTGAAGATAAGTACAGTCCACAGTTCTCTTCTTTGCCAGGCTTAGATCAAATGTTATAAAATCTTTTAAATATGTGTGTGTGTGTGTAAAAGATAATTATTTCATCTTGATGACTTGTTTAATAATTTTTTTTGGGGGGGGGGGGTATTTTTTTGATGAGTACAAATGATGGTTTATGTGTGCTGAAACACTGACAGACTACAGACGTGAGTGTCAGTGCTCGTCACTGGGGTAATCATTCACTGGGTATCAGTGCTTGTCACTGGGGTAATCATTCAGTAGGTGTCAGTGCTTGTCACCTGGAGTAATCATTCAGTGGGTGTCAGTGCTTGTCACTGGAGTAATCATTCAGTGGGTGTCAGTGTTTGTCACAGGAGTAATCATTCAGTAGGTGTCAGTGCTCGTCACTGGAGTAATCATTCACTGGGTATCAGTGCTTGTCACTGGGGTAATCATTCACTGGGTATCAGTGCTTGTCACTGGGGTAATCATTCACTGGGTATGAGTGCTTGTCACTGGGGTAATCATTCACTGGGTATCAGTGCTTTTCACTGGGGTAATCATTCACTGGGTATGAGTGCTTGTCACTGGGGTAATAATTCACTGGGTATGAGTGCTCGTCACTGGGGTAATCATTCACTGGGTATGAGTGCTTGTCACTGGGGTAATCATTCAGTAGGTGTCAGTGCTTGTCACTGGAGTAATCATTCAGTGGGTGTCAGTGCTTGTCACTGGGGTAATCATTCACTGGGTATCAGTGCTTGTCACCTGGGTAATCATTCAGTGGGTGTCAGTGCTTGTCACTGGATTAATCATTCATTTAGTGGGTGTCAGTGCTTGTCACTGGGATAATCATTCAGTGGGTGTCAGTGCTTGTCACTGGGGTAATCAATCATTCAGTGGGTGTCAATGGGCAGAGAGCTTCAAGTTTAAGTATGTCCATTGCCCACAATTGTGCACGTAAAACTTGTCCAGTTCCATTGTTGTAAACTCAGATGGTTGGATATTTCAGGTTCTGAAGCTGCATACAAAACTTGGCAAGCCCATCCCACCAGCAGAGCCAGTCGTCCCGGCCAGTAAAGTGGCTGCAAAGACTGCTGTCGTCAGCAAGCCAGCCATTGTTTCAGCAGCTGTGAAACCTAAGATAGTGTCTGCTCCTAAAATTAATTTTGTTGGTAAGGGTCAATGGTTAATATTGCCTATGTTATTTTGCTTCAGAATAATGTGTCGTGGGAAGAGATGTTGTTTGAGATCTTGTGTCAATTACATGCTGATTTGATTGAGCCTACTTGGATTCCTCTGCTGGTGTTAATCAGTCTGTTTCTTGGTGGCTGATAATGTTGGATAGGAACATCATTGTTCTGTAGTTCCTTGACTTGGATTGGAACATCATTGTCCTGTAGTTCCTTGACTTGGATTGGAACATCATTGTCCTGTAGTTCTTTGATGTGGATTGGAGTATCATTGTTCTATAGTTCCTTGACTTGGAATGGAACATCATTGTTCTGTAGTTCCTTGACATGTCACATAGGTCATTGTCCTGTAGTTCCTTGACATGTCACATAGGTCATTGTCCTGTAGTTCCTTGACATGTCACATAGGTCATTGTCCTGTAGTTCCTTGACATGTCACATAGGTCATTGTCCTGCAGTTACTTGACATGTCACATTTCATAGGGTTTCTTTTGAATGTCCTTTCCTCCTTATTCTCTTTATTTCTCATTTTAGTGCCTGTTTGGTGATGCTGTGCTTGTTTCTTCTCAGGATTCTTTCAGTGTAGGCTGTCCTAATACTGTTTGTACTAGCAGTTGCTGAGACATTTCTCTCACCAACCCCCGACACACACACACACACAGATTCATGCCACTTTACATTCACAATTTCCCCCTGGACTGAAATATGCAATTGAATGATTGTTGTATATTTGTGTCCAGGTGGTACTCAGCTGAAAACCATGGCAGGAAAACCCGAGGAAGTGAAAGCACCTGCTGTTGTTGCAGCCACAGTGGCACCTGCCTCTGCAGTTACTGAGGTTGTGTCTGAAACCAATGACACCATGTTAGATGAAGACGGTAACTGCTTATTAATTTATCTTTATCTTAGCTACTTGAACGACCTTCAACTTTAACCTCCTGTTGGGTGCAGTTTTCTTTTTGATCAACTTTCAATATTGTGTTCACTATGTTTTGTTGAGATATGAAACATAAACAGGAAAGGCAATAGGAAATGTGTTGAAACAGTAACAGACCTGTGGCATGGGGAACATATTACCTGGAGGTGTTAATGCCCAATCTGATCCCTTTCAAAGTAGCATCTTGTGACTGTACAATTATCTCTTTCCTGCCATTGTTTGGTGCATTTCACAAAGGCCTCTTTGAGAGAAGTCAGTTTGGTCATTTTTTCTAATGACTCTTATTGGTAGGGATTTGAGGCAGCTGCCAAGTTCTTGCTGCCCACAGATCAGCTCACACAGCACATGGAAGACTAACAACCTTCAGGCACTACCTTCCTGGTAATGCTTTGGCCTTCTGGTGCATACTACTCATGATAGCACTGTCGGCTGGCAGCCAGCTTCTTTGCAGTAGAGGGATAAAACCTTGTGTCTTGAACTGCAACCTTGTGTCTTGAACTGTAACCTCATGTCTTGAACTGCAACCTTGTGTCTTGAACTGTAACCTCATGTCTTGAACTGCAACCTTGTGTCTTGAACTGTAACCTTGTGTCTTGAACTGCAACCTCATGTCTTGAACTGCAACCTTGTGTCTTGAACTGTAACCTCATGTCTTGAACTGTAACCTCATGTTTTGAACTGTAACCTCATGTTTTGAACTGCAACCTTGTGTCTTGAACTGCAACCTTGTGTCTTGAACTGCAACCTTGTATCTTTACTGCATCTTTACAGTTGTTCTGTCCGTTACTGTGTCTTTGACTAGCATTCTTGGATAAGATTTCAAAATGTTTCCCTTGTTCGATTGACTTCTGCTGTTGGAGCAGCAGATCTTTTTTGCTGATGTCTCACTCAGGTGCAATGAAGACAGTGTATCCACATATATGCCCTTGTAAGAGTGAAAGCGTCACTGTTGCTGGAACCCATCAGGGAAGTAAAGAATAGTAACTCTAGCCTACCATGCATGTCATAAGAGGCAACTAAGGAGGGATAGTGTGAAGAAACTGGCTACCTCATCCAGTTTACAACATATTGGCATTACCTGTTGTTTAAATTAACAAAGTGATGGATCATGCTGCATGGACCATATATGGTCTCTTTACTAGTGCCCTGGCTTTGTGTTGTGCAGAGGAACAGCTTCACATTGGGCCCTATGTAGAATTGCCATGGGCAGTGATTCACTACACTGGACAACCTAAAAGATCCACCAAGAGGTTTTGAAAGAGGCGGGAGCCCGAAGACATCACAGACATCAGAAGGAGACATTCATAATTTTTCAGCCATGTTAGGAAAACAGAGAAAATGGAACATGTTGTGACCACTGAAAAGATCTGTGGAAGGAGGGATAGAGGAAGACAATGAGAGGAGAAGATTCTTGACAATCTTGTTGCGTGGCTTGGAGGTGTATTATCAGCACAAGAACTGATACATGCTGCAGGAGATCAGGGATAGTGGAGAGGCATGATAGCCAGTCGACAAGGCCCTGATGATGATGATGATTAGATACAGACGGCCATGAAACACAACAAAATGTAATGCATACTTCAAGTCTCCATCTGGTAACTTCAGCTATGAAACTCAAAAATCGAAAGATGAAAATAGGATCCTTAAGATCTGATTATCCCCAATCTTCGTATATCTTGTACTTGATAGACTACTAATTAACCCCCGTGTGGGTTCCGGGGCCCCATTGTGGGGAAAACAAGAATAGACCCACTGCCTTCCCAAAAGCATGTCGTAAGAGTCAACTAATTGGGGAGCTTCCTTTCAAGTCGGAGTGCATCTGCCGGAGAGGCAAGGAACCAAGTGTGTATTCAAGAGATTGAGATCTGTAAAACTTATGCACACGCAACACTCAGGTTCTGGAGCAGTTCAGTAGTGGATGAGCAACCAGAACTTTCCGCAAGAGTTTACAGCTGGTGAACGCGAAGAAGAAGAAGACTACTAATTAATACAAAACTATTAATTAATATTGTAGGCAAGTCCCGTGAATGCTGAAGCTGAATATGATATTAAAAAACCGTTGAGTCACACATTCTCATAAGACTTCTTTCAGGCGTGTCCTATACGGTACAAGTGTCGGTTCAATTATATTTCTCTACTAGTCTTCCTCATCCTTCAAAGGGTTCCTTTTTAGATTTATAATGTGCCTTACATCACGCTATCATCAGTTAGTTAACATCTTCCTTTGTTGTATTGATCAAACAGTCTGTTATGTCCTGGCCTACAGCTTCCAGAAATGAATCTGCTGACAACTGTCCCGGGAAAATAGTGCGAGGCCTTCAGTATTCTGTTCTTTTCATGGCGTAAAAGTGCCCCAGTACTATCACATGTTCAGTTTCCACCAATTGTTTAGAGGAACTGTTATTTTATCCTTAACCTAATTTTACAGGTGGCAAACAAGATTTGACAGAATTTATGTTTATATTCATGTTTGGGAATTTGACACTTAATTCCAATTTCCTGCTTTATTTACCGAGCAACTAAGCAACAGTCAGCTTGCTTGTCATGAGTATTTTCCTAGTGGGGAACATTTTTGCTCATCTGTAATTAATTTAACTTTTGTCTTTTGTTAGAATCAACTCAGCAAAGGGGTTCGTGTATATTTACCGGTTAACCAAGGTACTAGGGTCGGCTTAGCACTGCTGGGTTTGTCTGAGATGGACACAGATATTTGGCAAGGTTAAAATGCATGTTATTTTCTGGCAAAATACATACCAGTACCCTTGGGAAAAATTCATTTTTCTACGTGGTCTTGTTAGAGTGCGCCGTATCTACTCGTTAAGAACGGGATTCAGTTCATGCTGCAAATAGGCTTCAGTTCATACTGCAAATAGGCTTCCTAATGGAGTACTGTTGTTATTGAATGGGTAGATGACTTTATTACACAGTGCAGCACTCAGTAGAGATGTCAACATCCTGTATGGAACTTTAGCTGCAAAACCCAAGAAATCATGATTGTCTGCAATGACTTGGTATGATTTGTTTGAGGGATCTGTGTTTCCTGAAGAGATGAAAGCAGCAGAAGTCATGTCTGTATAGTTAACCCAGGAAACATATTTCTAATAATCTAATGTTTTAACACACTTTATGTACATATATATATAATAATTTGGGTGTTAACTGTTACAGATGATGGCAATTCTGCAGAAGACAAGGATGTGACTCCAGTAGGTATGTGGTATGATGACCTTAAAGATGTTTCCTCTAGCATTATTTGAACCCACTAGGTTGGGAGTGTGTAGTGTAGTGACATTAATGATGTCCCTTCTGATGTGACACCACAAGGTTTGTGGTGTGATGACATTAATGATGTTTCCTCTAGCATTATTTCTGATGTGACCCACTAGGTTTGTGGTGTCTTGACCTTAATGATGTTTCCCTTCTGATTTGACACCACTAGGTTGTGGTGTGATGACATTAATGATGTCCCTTCTGATGTGACACCACAAGGTTTGTGGTGTGATGACCTTAAAGATGTTTCCTCTAGCATTGTTTCAACCCACTAGGTTGTGGGTGTATGGTGTAGTGACATTAATATTATAATGTCCCTTCTGATGTGACACCACAAGGTTTGTGGTGTGGTGACATTAATGATGTCCCTTCTGATGTGACACCACAAGGTTTGTGGTGTGATGACATTAATGATGTCCCTTCTGATTTGACACCACTAGATATATGGTGTGGTGACATTAATGATGCATATCTGGTGTGTTTTGTCCTGGAAAACTTATAGTGTAGTGAGGTTAATAATTTGTTGCTGTAATATTTTATTCCATTAAGTATATGGTGTGGTGATATTAATTATGCAGCTGGCATTAAAAAAAAAATCACTCATATGTTTATAAATTTTGAAACCCTTTTTTCTGGGAGGTGAGGAACCAACAGTCAGCATACAAACAAGCCAGATCTGTAAACTGGATGTGCACGAAAAGTCCAGTTCTAGAATAAGACCAAAGTCCAGAACTGGAGTAACAACCAAAACTTTACGTTGGGATTACAGCCGGTCAACGCTCAGAAAAAGATGATAATTTTGTAATAGGCCTTTTATTATGTAGCCGGCTCTGTAGCTAAGTCGATGCGAACGCTTCGTAATGCCAGGTTTGATCCCAGCTGCGGTCCATGCACTTTGCGTTGGTTTTCGATAGTGGTATCAGGGGCAGACCGTACAAAAAGCAATGGCAAACTGCTGGACGTAAATTTGCCTAGAGAAACCACACAACAGCGAGGGGCTGCTGTGGTTAGTTCTGCAACATCCTGCAAAGGATACATAACTAACCAACCTTTCATTATGTTGTGTGCTGCCTGGTTGCCTTCTCAGTTGCCGTTGGGTGCTGAAGAAAAGAGGATGCTTGGCATATCTACATCTCAATGAAACCAAATAAAATATATATGTATGTAAAACATTGAGAATACATTTGTGTAAAAAAATGACATATTATTCCACAGGTCATGAGTACATCGAGGAGATTAAGAATGAAATTGGAAAAGTTGTCAGCTTCAACTGCAAGTTATGTGACTGCAAGTTCAATGACCCCAACGCTAAGGAAATGCATTTGAAAGGTCGCCGCCATCGTCTCCAGTACAAGGTATACATTAATGTTAGATCTAAGTTGACATGTTGTAACTGCATGACCTTGTCAGATTGGAAAAGTTACCTATTGTTCAGTATTTGTGTGCCCACATCGGGCACACAGATTGTTTTGTTAGAACTCTCTGTGGTCTACAACCTTTATTTGACTTCCCCCCGCCCTGAGTGGATGGCAAGACCCCCCACCCAACATAACAGAATGTGATTAAAAAAGAGTTCAATAGATTCTTTTCAAGGTATGGTCAGAATATGTTTTTAATCTATAGTTAAATGCGCATGTTATATTTTTAGCGGTAGATGTGCTGTTCATGAAAACTACAATTCTGTGTCATTTTATTTAATAAATAGTAAACAAATCATTTTTATGTATAATTAAACTCAAGAACAATGTTAGTATAACGGAACATTTAAGTACAAATGTGCTCACTTTGAGAAATGCTGGAGCTCCCTCTATCCACCCCTCCCCCTTCACTGTCGGTTTGCCTGAAGTTTTTAACTCTAAAATCAACATCATCATCAGCATTCAGTGCATCATCATCACATGCTGTTGTGATAAGCATAGGCTGTCATGTTTGGCCATCTCATGAGAATCCTGGATCAGGTCAGTGTTCTTGTCTTTTCCCCATACATGGGACTAAACCAGCCACTTATTGTCTCTGTGCCTTCCCCCTGGTGTTTTCTCATCAATTTGTTTCAGTAGTTACCTGGTTCTCAAGTACATCACCTCTCACAACATGTCTGGGGGAAAACAACTTTCTCTTAGATGCCAAATCTAGTCATGATTTGACAGCAGTCTGAGACTTAAATGAGGCAGCTGTCCCAACTGTTAAGAACACAGGGCTCTCATGGGCGACGCAGATTTGAATCCTCAGAAAGGTCATGACATTTTTTCCTGTCTGAGTAAACATAAAATACTTACTTGCACAGTCCAAGGCGTCAGCAGTAGCCATGCAGCGCCAAATGTTCAGGCGCAAACACTGCGCTGGCGACACCACAAAAGTGGTAAATACATGCGGTGTTGTAGGAGGCTGAGATGTTGTTGTTGTTGGGGCACATGTGATACCGGTCTTTTAACAATGCAAACCTTTCAATGTTTTTCACAGAAAAAGGTGGACCCCAACCTGCAGGTGGATGTGAAACCCAGCATACGGGTTCGCAAAATTCAAGAAGATAAACTGCGCAGACAGGCCCAGAAGGAAGAATTTTGGAGGCGGAAAGAACAACAGGAGCGAATGCGTGAAGAAATGAGGTGAGCTTTCTAACAACACCGGTGTTTACTTGTTGAATTGAGAGAACGTGTGATAAGCTGGAGATTTCCGTGTCTGAACATGGACGTAGGACACCTGAAATCTCTTGTTAACATTTTGTTAAACAATTAAAATACTATATCTATGATAAATGTTACAAATTCTGCTGCTTTATCGCATCTGCTATCCTTTATACTCAGCTTGTCCAGGGTGATATGTTTGCTTTGGAAACTGATATTGGTGTGTTAGAAAACAAACACACAGATAGACTAGCTGGTTCTGCACTACTTGTGGGGTATATTGATGCAGGACAAGTGAGATGATGTAGAGGTGAACGGTGTAGAGGCAAAACTAGATTATTATTGTCTGAGGAGAATAGTGCTACGAGGAGTGACATCATGGTCTGACAGAGGAGAATAGTGCTACGAGGAGTGACATCATGGTCTGACAGAGGAGAATGGTGCTACGAGGAGTGACATCATGGTCTGACAGAGGAGAATAGTGCTACGAGGAGTGACATCATGGTCTGACAGAGAAAAATAGTGCTACGAGGAGTGACATCATGGTCTGACAGGGGAGAATGGTGCTACGAGGAGTGACATCATGGTCTGACAGAGGAGAATGGTGCTACGAGGAGTGACATCATGGTCTGACAGAGAAGAATAGTGCTACGAGGAGTGACATCATGGTCTGACAGAGGAGAATAGTGCTACGAGGAGTGACATCATGGTCTGACAGAGGAGAATGGTGCTACGAGGAGTGACATCATGGTCTGACAGAGGAGAATGGTGCTACGAGGAGTGACATCATGGTCTGACAGAGGAGAATGGTGCTACGAGGAGTGACATCATGGTCTGACAGAGGAGAATAGTGCTACGAGGAGTGACATCATGGTCTGACAGAGGAGAATAGTGCTACGAGGAGTGACATCATGGTCTGACAGAGGAGAATGGTGCTACGAGGAGTGACATCATGGTCTGACAGAGGAGAATAGTGCTACGAGGAGTGACATCATGGTCTGACAGAGAAGAATAGTGCTACGAGGAGTGACATCATGGTCTGACAGAGGAGAATAGTGCTACGAGGAGTGACATCATGGTCTGACAGAGAAGAATAGTGCTACGAGGAGTGACATCATGGTCTGACAGAGGAGAATGGTGCTACAAGGAGTGACCAGGGGATCTGGCCGACGCTCAACACTCGAGGCAGAGGCAAGATGAAGATACAATCTGCTATCATTGGAATTAGAACTCTGCCCTTACTGCTCAAGATAGGGATGGAGTGTCCCGAGTGCCTTGATGATAATTCTTAATTCAGCATTTGCTAAACTTTTTTAGAGACGGGGCCTTATTTGCAGTTTTAGTGCCAGAAAGACTGCGCCCTCATGAGGGGATTCTCTAAATTTACACACACAAAATTATTTTTAAAAGAACTTGCTGTACCCGAAGGATTTGAAATTCACCATACATTTTTCAAATTGACCTTGGCAATTGTATCCTCCCAGATTAAAATGGGTAGCAGGAATTGTAATTAGAAGGATATCGGCCAGTGTAATATTTACCACATCACCAATTGAGTAACAGTACTACTACCACAACCACCACAATCACTTTACAAAACTCACTACTGCCTGGTTTACCACAAGTCTAGGTCGGTGTTGACAGAGAAACCGCATGGCTAGTGCTGTCACCACGGACTGTTCAGGTTAGGATGTTTAATTGTGCCCTCGACAGAAAAAATCTCGTCACCTTACTGGGGGATCTCCTGCATGACAGTCTGAGGTAACCACCTGGCCAAACACAACTACTACATTTCTGTTACTGCTACCACTGCTACTACTATCAGGAGATGAATCTTGTGGGCAAGGTGGTTACTGTGACTTCCCCGACATGGGCAGAAGCGATGTTATTGATGTCTGGTGACATGCATGTCTCGGAGAAGATCGTGTCGAGAGTGGTGAATATGGGAGTGAAGCCTGCAGCATCAAGGGCAAAAGTTGTCTGATTAATCACCACAAAATGGGCGTCATCAGTTGTTTTCCCCGCTTGTGGAGCTATCAAGGAAAGCTGTGATGATAGTTCTCACTCATCAGTAATCTTTCATTCCTATATCTTTTCATTCCCATACAGTCTTTCAACTGCTCTCTTTTCATTTCCAACTCTATTAATGTCAGCTTGTTTTTGTTGCCACATCTTTACATTTCCAAACAGCCTTTCAATAACTCTTTGAAATAATTTATTAAATCATACAGCTTTTTGCAGATTTCTGAAGTCAGCGGTCAAAGTTTAGGAATGCAGCAACAAAAAAGAAATCAGATAGCAGGGAAAACAAAACCAAGATGCTGATGAGATCGTCACTGGAACTGTGTAGTTAGTTGTGCGACACTTTTGCATAAAAACATGCTCGTATTCGGGTGCATCGCTGTGTCAACATTTCGAAGCAGATGGTAGAGAACTGCTGGCATATACATGCTATCACTGACAAATAAATATTTACATTTTTATTTATATAGATAAAGCGTTTAATTTAACATACACAAACTAAATATATTCTTGTAGAAAATTAAATGAACTGACAGTCTTTAAGAGTCAGTCTTTTCATGATTTATTCAAATTAGGTATGGAATTTGCATATTTATGCGTGCATTTTTTTTATTACATAGGACAAACGTGACTAATTAGAACAATTAAGCCAAATTTTCTGATGAATAAAGCATGAACCTGGGAATTTCTGAGCAAAATCTTTAAATAAACAATTTCTTTCTTTGTAGGCTTTTGTGATGCATTTTTGTTTGGTGTTAAAATGTTAATTTTTACTGAAAGTGTTGTGTACATTTTCCTCAGAATGGAGGATGAGATTTACTGGGGTCATCGGCGCCTGGAAATGATGGGAGGGCCTGTTTTCCCGGAGTACATGGATTGGCAGAGGTTTGGACCCATGCCACCCATGGGGCCAATGGGACCCATGATGAGGCCTCCATTTCCTGTTCATCCAATGGTCAGTGTTTAAGAAAGTGGTTGTTGCGTCATTCAGTTTATGTGGGCTGACTGCTAGAACAATGGTCAGTGTTTATGAAAGTGGTTGTTGAGTCATTCAGTTTATGTGGGCTGACTGCTAGAACAATGGTCAGTGTTTATGAAAGTGGTTGTTGAGTCATTCAGTTCATGTGGGCTGACTAATAAAAAACAAAACAGGAGCCTGTGTGTCAAAGTTGTGCATGTTCACACAACAGTTGGAGCTCCTAAAGGGCAAGGTCATATGAGCACTAGTTTGGTAGAATTGTAGGGACAGAAAAGACATGTCAGAAATATATGGAGCAGGTGACCTTGGAGGTCTAGACGGTGTGTAACTCACACAGTTATAAGCTGAAGCCATAGATACTGACCCGTAAGCTAAACAAGAACAGATATCAATCAGCTATGGCTGCTGCATGAGACCATTTTCTTATAGTCCATACCATGTAACGTTGGTAGTCATGTCTATCCACTGTGTTCATGCTGTACACAGCGCTTTCGGCAGGTGGTGGCGATTCTGCGGAGAGAGGCTGAGATGTATGGGATAAAACTCAGGGCAGTGAAATCGATCTTCTTAACTTTAATCTGTACATTTATACATTGAAAACAAACTGTGGAGAAAGGGCCCTTTATTGTGTACACATATACGTTTACTTATATGTGCGGCTTTTGTAAACAAGCTGTTTAGTAATATTTTTCTAATTCCCATCTATAATCGTTAGACAGAGTGCAAAATCAAGCTCTTAGACTCATCACAGGATCCATGAAAACTGCACCAATCCTGGAGATGCAGAAAATAACCGCAGTGCAGACGTTGTGCTCAAGAAGAGACACTAAAACTGATCCAGATGGAGAAGTTTAATAGTATGCTATCATACCCAATGAATGAAAGGTTAGATGATCTGGCATTGGGGCGTTTCAAATGTAGCAGCTTTGTCCTTCAAGGGTAAAGACTCAGAAGACAGTATCAAGCAGATCTACCTTTTAGAACAACACCGCTGAAACCTACCCTATACCCTGTACCTTGGGAGCAAGTCAGTGATACAATACATGTAATGACTTCAGTCAATGGATTCACAACTGGGGATGAGTCCAATGATCTTCAAAAATGAACAGCTGCTCTTAGCATGATTGATGAAAACTATCCCGAACAGTCATGGATACATGTTTACACAGATGGATCAGCAACTAGTGTGGTTAAAAATGGGGGTGCTGGAGTCTTTATTACATACTCAGCAGCCACCGCCACACAAAGTGTATACCCACTAATAAATTCTGTTCCAACTACACAGCAGAGATTGTAGCACTAGAGCGGGCTGCCAAAATGTTACACAACACCAGTTCTGACCAAGTGGTCATATTCACAGATGTGCTATCGGTGCTTCGAGCCCTCAAGAGTGGCAAACCCCCTCACTTGAGATCTGAACTTGGCAAGGTGGCTGCCCAAAAGTGTAATGTACACCAGTGGGTGCCATCCCACTGTGGTATACCAGGAAACAAAACCGCAAATAAACTTGCTAAGAAATGGGCAGAATGTGACCAGGAAGAGAATGCAGTAACATACTATGAGAAGAAAAGGGCCATCCAGGCTATTAGAAGTGAACAAAGTCTGGCCAGAGATGACTACCACTTACTTGACCGGCATGGGCAGGTCATTGTCCTATGTCTTAGGACAGGACATAACAAACTTAACCAGCATATGCACAGGCTTCGTCTAAGTAGTTCACCCGTGTGTCCTTGTGGGCTATGTGTGCAGACTACAGAACATGTCCTGCAAGACTGTCCCTTGTTCAGCCCATTAAGATGAGAATACTGGCCCAGTGAGTCACCACTGTACACAAAGTTGTATGCGACTAAAAAGGAACTCATTAAAAACAGTCAAGTTTATCACAAGAACCTGTCTGTCAGTGTAAATCAGAAAGCGAACTAGCAGACAAAGTCCTCGGTGGCCGTTAAAGGCGGCTTGGTGTCATACTGTGACCCATCAAGGGCAGATTGGTCTATAAAAATATATGGTCTAGTTCTTGTAAGTGCCTGTAAGACCTAGGAAAAGGGACCTTTTAGGATATCAAACATACCAACACTTCTGTCCCTATAAAAAACATTTTCTTTTTCCTCACCGAATGACGCAAAAACCACTGGACTAAAGAAATTTCACATATGATAACTGGAAGTAAGCACAAAAAAAAAACCAATTGACTACAAGGATAATTCATCATTATGATAACTGGAAGACGCAAAACCACTTGATACAAAATAATGCACATCTGATAACGGATACCTCATACTTGGAAACGAATAAATCTCTGGGGTACTACATT